GGCCGGCCAGTTGGCCAACCAGAATAGTTGGTGGTTGGGCCGGAACATATATCAACACGCAGTTTTCAGGATTATGTCAGGAAACTAGTCGACATTATGCTCTCTTGAATGTCTTCAAGGGCACATCTCCGGACGGCTTCTTGGTCGATTTTGATACTGGAACGACGCCTCGAGTACCAGCCGGAATACACACCGATGTTCGTGGGGGTAGCCTACCTGTGCCGTGATTGGCCAAAAGTGGAGCTCTCTACCCCGCGCTAGCGACGCGGCTGCAGCCTCGGCCTCACAGCTCACATTTAGGTATCTCTTTTAACGACCTTTATATCGCTTCAGCCCGTTCTCTGATCTGTTTGAAAATAACTTGAGCAATGTCTTTAGTCTCTGGTCCAGGCAGAGGCGGAGACTCATCTCAACTCCCCGAGGGACTTAGTCTCGCAGCTGAAGCCCATGTCAAATACATCCAAAGTCTGGACACCGTAAGCTCGCTCTCCTATCTCCTCCATGTTCCTCGATATATTTCATGTCTCCTTCATAAAAGTGTCGGCCGGTAACTTACTTCCTGAAGCGCAAAGATGAGCTAGAATATCATTATACTGAGCACCTACGTCTCAACGGAGTCTACTGGGGTCTCACTGCCCTTCACCTTCTAAATCGACCTGATGCTCTTCCACGGTCGGAAACAATCGACTTCGTGTTCTCTTGCCAAAAGCCGGATGGTGGGTTTGGAGCAGCTCCACGACATGATGCACATATGCTATACACCTGCAGCGCCATACAGATTCTGGCGACTGTCGACGCTTTAGACGAACTGGATAAGAGGGGTCCGGGCAAACAAAAGTTGGGCGAATGGATTGCAAATCTACAAAACAAAGAGAGCGGAACATTCGCCGGCGATGAATGGGGCGAGTGCGATACCAGATTTATCTGCTGTGGCTTTATTGGGCTTTCTCTGCTTGGATTATTACATCTCGCGGATGTCGACAAAGCTGTCGGGTACATCAAGGACTGTCAAAACTTCGATGGAGGATATGGAGTCAGTCCAGGTGCAGAATCCCATTCCGGTCAGATCTTTGCATGCCTTGGCGCACTTTCGATAGCAGGCAAATTGGATACTGTAAAGAAGGTTGAGTTATCTGGCTGGCTCTCTGAGAGGCAGACTGAGGGAGGAGGCCTCAATGGGCGTCCAGAGAAGCTTGAAGATGTCTGCTACAGTTGGTGGGTTGCGAGCAGTTTGGCAATGCTTGGCAGCTTGAATTATATCGATGGAAAGAAGCTGGAAACGTTTATTTTGAAATGCCAGGACTCAGAGCGAGGAGGTTTGGCGGATAGACCGGGAGATATGGTGGATGTCTTCCATACGGTATTCGGAGTTGCGGGATTGAGCTTGCTGGGATATCCTGGCTTGGCTGAAGTTGATCCGATATAGTAAGTTGGCTCCTGATGTAAATTCGACGCATTAACTGACACATTTGCAGCTGTATGCCAAAAAAGGTGACAGACAAGATACTGGGCAGGAAGACATCTTGATGGAGTTTTAATGGGGATGGCGTTATGGTCTGGTGGAATTATGTTATCTCTCCAGTAGTGTACACGGAGAAGTAAAAGACGTTTCATTCCAACGTATCCTTCTCACTTTATCTACCATTCGTCGTATTTGGTCTGGACATGCGGAGTGACCGAATGGTCTTAACTTCGGGTTATATCCAGGTTCAAGTATATTTATTCCATTCATTGCCTTTATTCCGTTTTCTACCTTCAGTTTACAACATTTGTATTCTCATAAACTGTTCTTCTACGTTGGTCTGCAAGTTTGACTATGTGTTCCGTCATAGTCCCAAAACGCATGTAGGTCAGACGCACCTTCCCCAAGTCAGCTCCTTCCGTGTGATCAGCTTTCTGAGAGCAGCATATTACATCCTCTGCTTCTTTCGCCTTCACACCTTCTCTTTCTTTCACAAAATCATCCATTGCCTTCCGCCAGTCAGCATTTCAGTGTATACATGAAGGCTCACCAACAATCAAGGACTCTCTGGCTTCATTTGCTGCAGTAGTTGGCCTGATCAGCACCGCACTCGCACACAACTTATAATTGATAACTATCGTGAGTACCCCCGCTCTTTATCGGTATAGAAGCAGCTTGGTTGTTTTTGGCAATCAAAGTCGGGCCCCTGTTGGGCTAGCGGGACATCCAACCTTGATCCCTTTCTTCAATGGTTTTAGCCACAGGCCTCCATCGAGCAATGGTAGCTTCACAACATAAATATTCGATGCTATGGACAGAAAAATGCTACTCCGACTGGAGCCAGGTACTAAACTGCTATTCAGAGGCTAATAATTCAAGTTATAGGCGAACAAAATATGTCTAAACTACCAGGAAATGCTACAGTTCCCCTGAACTGTAGCCTCTGCCCGAAGAACCCCCAGTTCTCCGATATCTCGCACTTGCTTACCCACATATCGTCGAAGGGTCACCTTTCCTGCAGGTTCAAGCTACAAATTCGCTGTCAAGCGGAGCCCGAAGCCAGGAGTCAACTCGATGCATACGACGCTTGGTATGCCGACAACAGTCTTGAGGGGTTACTGGCGGAACGCCTTGTGACCAAGGAGCAGAAAAATACCGTGAAGCGAATGAGAAGCTTCCAGAAACCTGTGCGTACTGATATCTGCAATTGAGAAGCTATCAGGGCGACCGGGCTAATTGTTTGGTGCAGCTAATCAAAGAGAATAAAAGTGAGAGCGAGACAAATGAGAGAAAGATTGAAGACATGGACTCGTCAATCAGCCAACTCATGGCTACACCCGCATACAAAGCTCCCGTTCCACGCATACATTTATGGTCCACCTCGCCGGCGCTCTTGGACACACCATCCGATTCGGTGCCTTCTAGCCGTTGGGACACGAATGATGCTTATGCTACTCCAACAATGCAACGATTCGTCCCAAATTTTACCCAGGATGACAGCCCGGGTACCCAAAACCTTTTCAGAGCGTTTGTGGCCCTCCTTTCCAATACAAAGATTCGATATTACTAACACATACCAAGCTCGCCTGCTCAGGTAAAGCGAGTTGAGTTGCAGGTTGATGCAGACAGCGACAACAGCAGACTCAAAGGAGTTTACTGGCCTGGTATGGATCTTTTTGATTCCGCCACAGCTGAAATGAAGCGGATGCGCAATCAAAGAAAGGATGGATCCATCCTTGCACAAATGCAAACAACATCCCGTGAGGTTGAACCCAACGAGATTATTTATAACACCCAAGGGGAGCTCCAGAGGATTAGAGACATATACGATTCGTCAGTGGAAGGTAGCCCCGTAAGTTATAGGCTCCTTGAGATACTACTATGAAGAGAGAACTAACCAAAACGTAGGTAAAGATCGAGAAGGCGCCATCTCCAAAGAAGCGTCGTGCGCGAAAGTCGAAGGCGTCATCTGATATTCCCAAGCCCAACATTTCTGATTCCAAAAATGTCGCCAAGGGGGGCAAACAAAAACGTCCTGCTGCAAAGCGAAAGGCTGCAGCTGTGCCTGTTGTTCCAACTGTGACTGCTGATACAGAACTGAACCAAAAAGTGCCAAAGCAGAATGTCTTGGGAGATTCAAGCAGCAACTTGTTTACTCGCAGTAACGACGAGGATGAAGAATTCAGGCTAACAGTTGAAAATATGGGCAAGAAACGTCAAATGAGTGTCTTCAAAGATGCTGTGGAGGACAGCCCTGGTAAGACTCTTATAATAGTATCCACTGTTGAAGCTAACGGCCTTAAAGGACGGACTGAAAGCCCACTTGAGGACCACAGGTATGAGCACCAATGTTCAAATTACGAAGTGAAAGACGCCACAATGATTAACGTGCATTAGATTTGATTTCTCTCACAGCCTTCCGCTTGAGAATGTGTCTTCAAACATGATTGTGCACACTTCCCCACGGGCAATTCAATCGCCGCTGGCCATGAGATTTGGAGGCAAAGAAAACATGCAGCCTGATTATCTGAACAGGAGATCCGGTGCTGCTAGTGCCCCTGGAAATGTTTACCCACCGCACGCTTTCCACGACCATACAGCAAATCCTCTCATTTACAACCCCTACTCGTATTCATTCGGATTCGGCGAGCCTCCAGCATTCCACGGAGATCCTAAGCAACTACAGTCTGGCTTCAATGGGGACTTTAAGCCTGCCGTGGCGCCCGGCCATTTTAGGGAATCCAACTCTACCAGACGCCAGAATCAATACACCAACAAGGGGTTTTCATATGCAATGTAATCGACTCGAGTCATACTGTTGCTTTGCCCGTTTCAATAGCAGACACGGAACTCTACTACATCATCCCCGATGATTTATCGCTGGCAAACTCTATGTATCACTTTGGGCTGACAGCATTAAGACCCGTTTGAAGATCACCACATCGACTGCTATGCTTGTGCGAAGATGGCGTGTTCAATATTGCTTAAAAGTGCTTAGAGCGTCATTCATGTAGCTTTACAATGCTCTTTTTCGATATCGAGCTTTCCTGTGGGCGCTAATCGATTGGTAGTTAGTTATTTTTAACACAATACACATCGCTATTATCATTCAAATATTTGACTCTAGCTTCTTCTATTGCAATTCTGTATCACGTATGGCTGGCTCATACGCCTTTTAAACCTTTCCCCATCCACCCACTGTGATAACTGTAATTGATGAGGAGCAAAATACCTCCAACTAGCACAGGTAAGTTACCTGATCTTGAGGTAGAAATAGAAAGTCGGCAACTACCTAAGTATGGATAATAGACTCGAATACGAAGACGACAGAAGTGTAGTATTGATGTTACTGTGAAGGTAGACAAGGTAATTGTGGAAGGTCATCATTGAATAACACAGAGTTGCGCACATAGCCTTTCTGTATTGCCGTAGCCTCTTTACGCGGAACGCGTCCACTGAACGCGACCCCAGAAACATCATCGACATCATTGTTCCACGCCTTGTGTCAACAAGACAGGAAAATGGCGCCACCAAATGGGAAAGCAGCGGCAAAGCAACGATCGATTGCCAGCTTCTTTACACCCAAGTCGACAGTCAATGGGCTTAGCCAGAAACAGGGGACTCCTGACCAGGCGACTCAGTCTACTCCATCTACGACGGCTGTCTCAAATGGTCTGGGTGACGCAGATAGCGACGAAGACATTGTAGCGCCAACCCGAAGAGCTGTATCGGCTGCCACAAAAAGAAAGAGCCCCTTGGATGAGGATGCGGATGCAGTGAACGTGGGAACTGATCGGGTGGCCAAACGAACAAAAAGCGGTGACAATGATACTCAGAGCAGCTTCTTTGAGGGCAATGCACCGAACAAATCTCCAAGACAACTGGAAAATAAGCCGACATTATCAGGCCGGACTGAAAAATATCTATACAATGGCACGCAATCACAGGAAGCTTTTGAAACGGCAGAGCCGGAGGAAGAAGCAGTGCAGAGGCAGAAACAGCGGCTTCATGATAAATTCGTGAAGAAACTGGGCCACCCTGATAGTATGGCACATATTAAGAGGAGGAACTGGCAAATTACGGAAGAGACCGCGGCGCTGGACGATGAAGATGCCGAGGCTGCTGAGGACGAAGAGCCAACACCCCCTCCAGCTAAAGGGGCAAGGAAAGGCGCCAAAAGCAAACTCACGCCTATGGAAATACAATTTCTAGATATCAAGAGGAAGCATTTGGATGCGATACTGATTGTGGAGGTGGGATACAAATTCAAGTTCTTTGGAGAGGATGCCAGGGTCGCTGCAAAAGAGCTGGGTATTGTGTGCATCCCTGGGAAATACAGGTTCGATGAGCACCACTCAGAGGCACATCTGGATCGCTTTGCCTCAGCGAGTATCCCGGTCCACAGGCTCCCGGTCCACGCGAAGAGACTTGTTGCTGCTGGGCATAAGGTTGGAGTTGTGAGGCAAATCGAAACGGCAGCATTAAAGAAGGCAGGCGACAACCGCAATACCCCTTTCGTAAGGAAACTTACGAATCTCTATACGAAAGGCACATATATCGATGATACTGAGGGATTGGGTGAGGCTACAGCTGGGACGCCTGGCGGGGCTCCGGCAACTGGATACTTGCTCTGCATCACGGAGGCTAAGTCGAAAGGCTGGGGTACGGATGAAAAGGTCGATGTTGGCATATTGGCAGTGCAACCTGGGACTGGTGACGTTATCTACGATAGCTTTGAGGATGGATTTATGCGCAGCGAAATTGAAACCCGGCTGTTGCACATTTCTCCCTGCGAGTTTCTTATCGTCGGCGAACTCACAAAGGCTACCGAGAAGCTCGTGCAGCATCTCTCTAGCTCAAGCACGAATGTCTTTGGCGACAAGATTCGCATTGAGCGGGTGGGAAAGGAGAAGACGATTGCTGCTGAGAGTTACGCCCATGTAGCCCAATTCTATGCTCGGAATATCAAAGCTCACGGCAATTCTACTGATGAAAGATCGACAAACCTACTGGACAAAGTTTTGAAACTCCCAGAGTCCGTCACAATCTGCTTGTCCTCGATGATAAAGCATATGTCTGAATACGGTCTCGAGCATGTGTTCGACTTGACGAAGTACTTCCAGTCGTTTGGCGCGAGGTCGAATATGCTGCTGAACGGCAATACACTTACCAGCCTCGAAATCTATCATAATCAAACGGATCATGCGGAGAAGGGAAGCTTGTTTTGGACCTTGGACAAAACCCAAACTAGGTTTGGAAAAAGACTTCTGCGCAAGTGGGTTGGCAGGCCGCTCATTGACAAGGAAAGACTCGAAGAGCGCGTTGCTGCGGTTGAGGAGCTGAAGGATGGCAACCAAGCTGCTCAGGTTGATAAGCTGAAGTCGCTTCTTATGAAGGTCAAATCGGATCTAGAGCGCAGTCTAATTCGGATATACTATGGAAAATGCACGAGGCCGGAGCTTTTCACAGTGCTACAAACTATGCAGCGGATTTCAAACGAATTTGCTCATGTCAAATCACCCGCAGATGCAGGATTCAAGTCTAGTCTGTTAAATGACGCTGTGGCAGCATTACCTACCATAGGCGACGCTATTACGGACTTCCTTGAGAAGATCAATGCCGAAGCTGCTCGCAATGACGATAAATACGCATTCTTCCTCGAAAGCGAAGAGACGGAGGACATTGGCGATCATAAACTTGGCATTGCATCAGTTGAGCACGATCTCGATGAGCATCGTCCCATTGCTGCAGCAAAAATCAAGAAAACGAACGTACGCTATGTTACCTCGGCCGGTATCGAGTTCCTCATTGAAGTGGATAATACAAACCTGAAGCACGTTCCAGCATCTTGGGTGAAAGTTAGTGGCACGAAAAAGCTTTCCAGGTTTCACACACCAGAGGTCATCAAGATGATCCGGGAGCGAGACCAGCATAAAGAAGCCCTTGCAGCAGCATGCGATGCTGCCTTCTCAAATCTGCTTTCTGATATCGCAGCCCATTACCAAGCTTTCCGTGATTGTGTCGCGTCCCTCGCAACTCTCGACTGCCTACTCTCACTAGCAACCGTGGCCTCCCAACCAGGCTACGTGAAGCCCGAGTATACTGGTGACACAGAAATCGCCGTGGTAGGCGGGCGTCACCCAATGGCCGAGCAACTCCTCCTCGACTCCTACGTTCCGAACGATACATCCTTATCAGCCGACGGAACCCGTGCACTCCTCATCACCGGCCCCAATATGGGCGGGAAATCCTCGTACGTCAGACACGTGGCGCTGATATGCATCATGGCGCAGATAGGGTCGTACGTCCCTGCCGAGTCGGCGCGGCTCGGGATGCTGGATGCGGTGTTCACGCGCATGGGAGCTTTTGATAATATGTTGGCGGGGGAGAGTACGTTTATGGTGGAGTTGTCTGAGACGGCTGATATTCTCAAGCAGGCTACTCCTAGGTCGTTGGTTATATTGGATGAGCTCGGAAGAGGCACCAGTACGCATGATGGTGTGGCGATTGCCCAGGCTGTGTTAGACTATGTCGTCCGCGACCTGAAGTGCCTGACTCTCTTCATCACGCATTACCAGACTCTTGCAGGCGTAGCGCGCGCCTTCGGGGCTGGGGAGCTGAGGAATGTGCATATGAAATTTACGGAACAGGGCAGGGTCGGGGATGAGGATATCACGTTCCTATTCCAGATTGGCGAGGGCGTGGCGCATAGGAGTTATGGGCTTAATGTTGCGCGGCTGGCGCGGATACCGAAGGGGGTTTTGGAGGTGGCGAAGGAGAAGAGTAGGAGGATGGAGGAGGAGAATAGGAGGAAGCTTGTGGGGGGGTTGGCGGGGTTGTTGGGACGGGTGGTGGGAGGGGGGATTGGGGAGGGGGAGCTGGATGCGTTGGTGAAGGGGATTGAGCAGCTGTAGGAGGGGTTTGTTTAATATGCTGTATGATAGATGGGAGGTGGAGATGGAGATGGTGTGGATGGTTTATTATACCCCTTTGGAACTACTATCAAATGTCTTGTCTGAACTTTACTTGTCGCCGAGGTATTATGAGAACTGCATGTACTCCCCTCCTCGCTCTACTCTACTCCACACTCCACTCCACAATAATCGTCGAAGCTGCATTATCATTCACGTGACCATCGTAGTAAACCCACGAGCAAGCCAATAGGCGGGCCGAACAGTGGGGTCGTTTCAGAAGTATGGGCGGTTCCTGACTACTGGCTCGAGTTAATGGCGCGTCAAACGCAAAGTAGCCAAGCCTTCCCCCCCAATCCCAATTCCAGCTTGCGTGTCAAGGGTCAGCCCATCAAGCAGCCCAGGGGACCAAAAAGCAAAGCCAGTACCTACCCGCCCGCTGCTTGCATTACTCGTGCTTCTTTTGTTACGTATGAGCGTACACTATAATCGTACTATATCGTCACTATATATGGGTACCTTGGTGATTTGATTCTGAGAAAAAGGGGGTATGGTATTGGAAAGGCTGTAGATGATGGGGGTTTTGGGGCTTTGTTTTAAGAGATAGGGCAATTTATTTATTATTCTGCGGCTTCAGGGGGGTTGAATCAGCACTTTCTTTTACCTTCCTTATAGTACGCACGCATACACGCATACTGCAGTTCGGTATTGTTGTCAACAACAAAGCAAGTCAAGTCGGAGAATACTGTAGCCTTCAATTGGGCAGGCTGTCCACTACTACAGTACTGTACCTACTGTATTGCTCCATATCTCCAGCGCCAGCGCCAGCGACAAGGGCTCGAGGGGGACTCAGCCTCGCAAAACCACACTATCGCCGCGACAACAACCAGCATGCGGACGCAGACTGCATCATCTCAGACAGCACCATACAGCACCACACATACTCATACAGCACCATCCATACTCATACATACTCACCCTGCATCGGGCTTCTTTTTGCTGGCTGTTCCTCACTACTCACGATAACTACGACAATCCTACACCTACTACATAACCCCTTCCCTGTTTTGCGCAAACGGCGTCTAAGTCATTTAAGTAGGACGATCCCTTGTCCTCCGCCCCCTCTCACAAGGATACTTCACCCCCGTACACGTTCAGCCCACGGTCCATCTTAACGAAGAGCACTGTGATACGCCTCCACGTTTTGTTTCGGGACACTGCCCGTTTGGAATGCACGAGTACTCTTTTGTGTCTTATCAAAAGATTCTTGGTGTATTATTTTCGTGATCCAAGGAAATTCATAATTCGTGAACAAAAAGAAAGAAAGTGTCTACCTACGCAAACACTCAAGGTCGCAACCCCATAGTTGCCGTCTTTGGCGAGTTCCCCCAATTCCACAGCGGTGAACACAACCCGCGCCCGCCCACGACCGACCGACCTTGACACGACTCACGCGCCTGGTCTTTGGGTCAAGGTTGGCTGCAGCACGCTGCGGCAACAGTGCGAATCGGATCGGCCATCTCCTGAGCCCATTAAACAGGGACCATGGTTCGGAAACCGACTCCGCTCGTTTTCACCTCTACGGCGTCGAGCAATGACGGCAGCAGCGCCAGCGCCAGCGCGATCAACGAACCTCCCCAATCGGCCCACAGCGTCAAGTCGCCAGGAACGCCGCGCTCGTTCCGCTTCAGTAAGAAACCCAGCCTTGCAGCAGATAATCCCGAAAACTTATTAGAGATGCAAGCTCCCGAGCAGCAGCAACATCAATTTCCGCAATCAGCTCGTATTCCCTCCTCCCCACACCTGGATTCGTTGGGGAACAACCAGCAGCAGGCCGCCCCCGACGGATCAACAATACCAGAGGGACAACGCGCGTACACCCCGTCGACATCGCCGCAGAGGACGGGCTTCTTCGCAAACATGAAGGCGTCCAAGTCGTCGAACCGCCTGCAGCAAGCCGAGGCCAAGAGGCCCGCAACAAGGGATAGGACGATATCTAAGGACAGTGTCCACCAAGGCGGCCCAGGGGCTGTCGCAAGCTCGGACGCACCCAATAATAGTATGATCTCATCTTTCGTTTCTAATTCCCAATTATCATGCTTACGTTTTTTGCTTCACACAGAACCTAGAGACGACAGATCCACCACACGTCGACCCGTCGCTACCCCTTCCCGATCAGAACCACAACTAAATACGTACGCCGACTCGACCCCGGTCGATACTGTAGGCGCCGGTGCCCAAACAAATCACAACTCTGCTAGCAGACGACCCAAGCCCAAAGGCTTCAACCTACTACGAAGAACAAGCTCGATACGAAATGACTCAGAACCAATGAGCCCAGGAGAATCATCAACACTGTCGCCGAACGACCAAGACCGTCAACAAGTACTGGAAGGACTACGCACAGCCCCTCTCCGTGCCGACAACGACCGAACCTTCAGAGAGCTGATCAAGAACTCCAACTCGCGCAATCGCTCTGCGGACCGCCAACCTCCCGCACAAAGACCGGAGGTGAGACGGGAGCCAAAGGACACCCACCGCGGCACGCCCTCTATATCAATGTCGCGGGACAACGGCGGCACGTCGCTGATGAACAGCCTCAAGGGCGCCGGGACGAAGGCCGCGTCGTCGTTTGGCAGGAATTTCTTCGGCAAATCGGCACGCAGTGGTAGCACGAATGAGAAGGAAGGGCCGATTGATGATGAGCATTATGTGTTGAAGGTGCTGAATCTGCCGCTGATAGAGCAGACGAGGGTTTCGCGCATATCGAAGCAGTTGGAGACGTCGAGGGATAAGACGGAGTTCTGGATGCCGTCGTTTCCTTGGAGGGCTATTGATTATTTGAACTATAGAGGTACGGATGCGGAGGGGCTGTACAGAGTGCCTGGTAGTGGACCGCAGATTCGGAAATGGCAGCGGAAATTTGACGAAGGTAAGGCGCCATTCATTCAATGTTGCAAGAGACAATAGCTAATATCACTAGACCTTGATGTGGACCTATTTGCGCAAACAGATTTGTACGATATCAACATCGTCGGCTCCATGCTCAAATCCTGGCTCCGCGAGTTACCCGACGAGCTCTTCCCCAAGGACGCCCAAGAGCGGGTCTCCAAAGAATCGCCCAACTGCGAAGACGTGCCACAAGTTCTCATCGACGAACTATCCAACCTACCGCCTTACAACTACTACCTCCTCTTCGCCATCACCTGCCACCTCAGCCTCGTCCTCGAGCACCGAGAGGCAAACAAGATGAACTATCAAAACCTCACAGTCTGCTTCCTGCCCTGCATGAGAATGGACGCCTACTGCTTCCGCTTCCTCGTCGTCAAATGGCGCGACTGCTGGAAGGGGTGTAACACCGAAGCGGTGTGGTTGGAGAAGGAAGCGAGATGGCGCGAGGAGGCGAATGGCACGAAAGTTGTTGATGATGGGAGAACAAGTATAGCTATTGATGATAGGAATGTGTCGTCCTCCGATAGCAGTAACCCATCTAGCCTCAACCGCGGGAATCAGCAGAGACCTGCTCAGAGCCAGGAGCAGCCTGCGAAGACGTCGACGGCTACTGCTGCGCCGGCGGAGAATGAGAGGCCTGGATACCAGTATGCGAGAGAGGCGCCGGCGTCGGGGACGACGAATGGGGGGAGCTCACTGAGTGCTGCTGACCAGCGAGGTCTTGGCGGTGGGCGGGAGATGCTGCTGCCGATTCAGCCTATGTCGCCAATGTATATGCCTGGCTCGGCTTTGGACTCCTCTTGAGCGCTGGTCGGTTTCTGTTAAGGCCAGTTGCGACTACAGGCACTGTGCCAAGCCGTAGAGGCTTCGGACATTATTCTTACCCGTCACTTTCACAGTGCCTATTTGCCGTTACCTGCACTACGACCACGTCCCGATCCGCATTTTATACAGACTACAACGCCCCATTTTTTAACTCCCACACACATCACACATCGCTCTTAGCCCCGTCTTTTCTTCAGCATTTGACGTTTTTGAATACCCGTTCTTGAGCGTTTCATTTCCTGGCAGATGCAACGAGTCGTCGTCGTTTTTCATTTTTACGTTTCTGCACTTTGGGTTTTTTTTGCATTCTTCGTTTTGTTTACTCGCATTACTTCATGGTTTGATAGGGTTGGTTGGTTAGGCTTGAAGGAAGATTTCCTTTATAAAGAAAGCTAGGGAGAAGAGGGGGGGGGGAGGGAAAGTTGAAGGGCTATATAAATCCTCACAACAACAAGACCGGGTGAAAAAAGCTTCGAGGAGGCTAGAGGGATTGCTTTTGGGGATTGGCACACACAAACGAGACATATATATTTTTCTTTGGAGCGGCGGAAAATCCGGTATGCGGTGCTATGTGAGCATTTTGTTTTGGCCCGTAGGAAGGATCGATGGCGGACGGGCCCGGGGGGGGGGGGGGCGGGGGGGGGGGGCGGGGGGGG